CACCACCACCCCCACCACCCCCACCCCCACCACCACCACCACCACCACCACCGTCTCTGCAGCCGCTGCTGGCTTCTCCCAGATCCACAGAAAGGGCTTTCTGATGTAAATACAAGATAGTTAACACTTAGAAATGACTGTACTAGGGATACATTGTTGTGAGGACGATGAACGCGCGATAATTGGACCAGGTGTATTAACCTGAGCGTTCGAACTCGTACAGGAACCCATCATCAGAGACTATGTTAGTGAACACGTAAGTGGACCGAGTTCACTCCGTTTAACCACAGTGTTTTCACGGCGAATAAATCGACGCGTCCGTCGTCTTCGCAACAAGAATCCGGGACTCATATTCGCCTCCGTTAGGAGATGCTTGAGGCTGCATCCGGCAGATTTAATCCGGAACTAGTGTCCTTGTTAGTGGCTATATTTGAGGCCATAATGCCTAAGCTACCGAAGGACAGTAAAGCCCGCTCTTTTCTGATTCGGAGACCGATAGGTCTCGATTAAAATGCTTCTTCTGTTGAATATTTTTACCAGCGCAGCTACCGTGACCAGGTAGCACTTTACAAGAGCCATAAGTGTTTGGCGCCGCTACGGCGCGCAGGGCAGTATGCTAATACAAAGAGCCCACGTTGAGGCTCTCAGGCCGTTCTTGTGAAGTTGCTTGACGCGACTTCGCACTAGGTAGTTTAAGCTCGTTGTCGTCTTACTGTTTGACCCTCTTATAAGAGGCACACAAGGCGGGCTAGCCTTACCTAGGCGTATATTGGAAGTCCAGTTCGTCTTTATGTTATAACCTTGTCACAAGCCGAGATGTTCGCCACTCAACAACGCCTCAATCAAATCCCCCAAGGGAGATGTCATCATCGAGGGCGAACGAATGAAAGTGTTCATTGTTGTATGCTAACAGCGTAAGCAAGGTATGTACAAGATAGGCATGCAATCGGATCAATTTAGATAGTATGCTCAAGCGGGTAGCAGTTCGACTGGCTTTCTAAGAGTCACCCGACTAGCCGGGTAGAGTCCTGGCCGCAGATTGCGCATTATCTTGTGCCATTGCCTGTGGGCTGATTAGCAGTGGTAGCCAGTCCCCAAGGCAGCGTGCGAGCGAGTCGGTTAAGCCGGTTCCTAACCCTCGAAAATAGTCTGTGAGGGTCTGGGAGAAGTGCGTCCACCAACCACCAGCACCACCACCCCTAACATTCTCTAGCTAATGTTTCCCCTCCGGCTTGCATTGTACTGTAGGCTGCCCAGCGTGAGGAAGCCTACGAAGAGAACATCCGTGATCTGACAGAACGTCTGAAGGACGTAAGCTACGACTGCTCGTGTTTGCGTGTGTGTGTGTGTGTGTGTGTGTGTGTGCATACAATGGCACACCCAAGTTGCACGGACGCACCGAGCTAGCTAGCTAGCTAGCCAGCCCGATCATGATTGACTTCCGTTGCATCTTGTGCATTTGCCTGACTTGTTGCCTCTTCTTGTTCGCATGCCCTCCCTCCTCCTGCTCGCCTCGCTTCTGGACACCTGTGGTCCCTGCTCTCCCCTCCCTCTTGCGTTCGTGGCATTCGTCCAAGTCAGGCTTCCAAGCAGAAGGAGGTTCATCAGGCCACCCTGGAGACGCTTAAAAAACAGCTGGCCGAGGTATGTGTACTCTGTTTATACTCCCCCGATCTCGCGATTTCGGTACAAGCAGGTTGGACCATTCGGTCTTCTAATTTCGCCCTACTGGTGACTTAGGTTCACTGACTATCTGAGCTACGCTGTAGCTGGGTTAGAGGGCAACCAGGGCTGCGCTGGTGCGAGAAGTCCGACCAACTACAGGCCAGCCACTGCGCCCAATCCGATTGGTTAGCAGGGAAAAAGAAGGCGGTAAGGTTGACACTAGGGGATCCAACCTCGCTACAAATGAACACACACACATTCCCCAATAAAATAAATACAACAACATGTCTGGGCATGTAATCTAAAAGTCATAGCATGGAAGACTGAGGTGCTGGTCCGGGCTTCCTTCGAATGAGAGTCAGGCCTCAGTGATTCCTCGACATGGCTCTTATAGCAGCCTTTCCATGCGAGATCCAGACCCGTTGTGAAGATGGACTAATGTGGAGTTAGTTGTATGCAGTAGTCATAGTCGAGTTAGAACACTCGGTAAATCGCTACAGTCGGTTTTCATTGTGCAGCTAAGGCCTACGTCGTCCTAAACAAACCTCGGCTGAGGAAGGTATCGAGTCTCGAGCTGATGATTAGAATTGGCTGCGAAAGCGCTCCCCCCACCCAACCATTTGGCGTCAAAACAGCCCAAACACCAAATCCTGTTACAGTCAGTGTTACTCTAGCATCACTCTACTGGCTAGCTGTCGTTACCTACTTTCCCCTTGTCGCTGTCCGTTATTCGTTCTCTATTCAATTTTGCGTCATCTGTATGCAACACGTCTCAAAGGTGATGTTGATGATTCTGTTATAGTACGACAACGTTATTTTGTGATGTAGCCGATCCAGACAGTGTTCACAGAAAATCTCTCTGCTCTTAGCTATTTCAGACGTAGTAGCCTTGCCTCCCTTCTAGAACACCAAATACCGTTTATCGCGGACTACGCCTAGCTAAGTTTCTGGACTGACCGCCCCATTGACGTGTCTAATGGGAGAGACGATCGTTGGTTTTACTACTGCATGCTTGGGGTAGGCGACAGACAGTGGTCACTGGCTGTGTTAGCTGCTTCTCTTGGGTGTCTGGCGGCATCCTTATGAGGTTCCCACAGCCGGTGAAAGGACCGACCCAATCAAAACTACGGTGGCTACAGATGTACAATTTTCACTCGAATTTGGACTGGCTACGCTATGAGGACGGTGCTGATACAGTGGAAGATTCTGATCATTGTGTGGTCATGCATGCGACCCTAACCCACGGCAGGGGCTGTATGCCGTCTGCCCGAGCATAACGCAGGACATGCCACATTGAATGCTCCCTCTCATGCTGCATGAAGTCTCCCAGCCCTGGATCCTATGCGCTTTTTGCACTGACGCTCCTGGCAGGTCCTCCCTGTGCGCATGGCCTCGACCGCATGGACTACGACCGCCACTACTACTACCACTTGCCTAACTGTGCCTCTGCCAAATTTCAGTCCGAGGCTCGTGCCCAAGAGTCCGAGCGTTTGGTTCACAGCCTCCAGAGCGAGGTGGACCGCATCGAAGGTAAACAGATAGCGTAGGAGACAATAGAAAAACAAGACTGTTTCGGCTTGCCCACACACGCGCATCCCTTCGGAATATTTTTTCGGCATTATTGTCTTCTTGTTGATGCTGCTGCTGCCTTGTTACTGCTGCTGATATTGTTTATTGCATGTGTGTGTGTGTCTACTGCTCTTTCCGCTGCTCTGCTCCCCGCGCGTGCACTCCGATGACAACCACCGAATCAGGTTGATGCCCGTGCCAAGGCCGCAGAAGGCGACATTCAGAAGAAACAGGAGGAGCTCTCGAAACTTGAAGGTGAGTCTTCCTTCGGCGTGCTTTTAAATGTACCCTCTCCCTCGCTCCTGTGGCGCTGCATTTCCTTACATCAGCCTGCAGACAAGTACAGTAGATTTGTAAAGTTTCGCACGAAATTCCGAAATATGTTTTCGATTCGAACAAGCTAATTAAGGAGGGTTGTAATATTGATTAGCGTAAGCCTTGGATATTTGATATCAGGTTACAGAATGCCGGATTTTTGATGAGCCTCTCTGTGGTTGAGGAAGAAGGAAGTTCGAGCAACGGATCAAGTTGTTTATTATTCTGAGCTTTTGGGCTCTTGCGGGAGTCCATCGTCAGAGACAAGAGCGTCCACGAAAAGTAAGCGACAGTTATAGGGGGTAGGAGCCAGTCAAACGTCATAGAGGGAGGAAGAAGGGAAGGGGAGGGAGGGAGATTCCACCGTCAA